GTCTAGTCTATAGTCTAGTCTATAGTCTAGTATATAGTCTCTATAGTCTAGTCTATAGTCTAGTCTATAGTCTAGTCTATAGTCTAGTCTATAGTCTAGTCTATAGTCTAGTCTATAGTCTAGTCTATAGTCTAGTCTATAGTCTAGTCTATAGTCTAGTCTATAGTCTAGTCTATAGTCTAGTCTATAGTCTAGTCTATAGTCTAGTCTATAGTCTAGTCTATAGTCTAGTCTATAGTCTAGTCTATAGTCTAGTCTATAGTCTAGTCTAGTCTAGTCTATTAGTCTAGTCCTATAGTCTAGTCTCTTTAGTCTAGTTCATAGTTCTAGTCTAGTCTAGTCTAAGTAGTCTAGTCTAGTAGTTAGTCTATAGGTCTAGGTCCTAAGTCTAGTTCTATAGGTTCTAGTCTATAGTCTAGTACTATAGTCTAGTCTATAGTCTAGTCTATAGTCTAGTCTATAGTCTAGTCATATAGTATAGTCTATAGTCTAGTCTATAGTCTAGGTCTATAGTCTAGTCTATTAGTCTGAGGTCTATTAGTCTAGTCTATAGCTTAGTCTATAGTCTAGTCTATAGTCCTAGTCTATAGTCTAGTCTATAGTTCTAGTCTATAGTCTAGTCTATAGTAGTCTAAGTCTAGTCATAGTCTAGTCTATAGTCTAGTCTATAGTCCCTAGTCTACTAGTCTAGTCTATAGTCTAGTCTATAGTCTAGTCTATAGTCTAGTCTATAGTCTAGTCTATAGTCTAGTCTATAGTCTAGTCTATAGTCTAGTCTATAGTCTAGTCTATAGTCTAGTCTATAGTCTAGTCCTATAGTCTAGTCTATAGTCTAGTCTATAGTCTAGTCTATAGTCTAGTCTATAGTCTAGTCTATAGTCTAGTCTATAGTCTAGTCTATAGTCTAGTCTATAGTCTAGTCTATAGTCTAGTCTATAGTCTAGTCTAGTAGTCTAGTCTAGTAGTCTAGTCTATAGTCTAGTCTATAGTCTAGTCTATAGTCTAGTCTATAGTCTAGTCTATAGTCTAGTCTATAGTCTAGTCTATAGTCTAGTCTATAGTCTAGTCTATAGTCTAGTCTATAGTCCTAGTCTATAGTCTAGTCTATAGTCTAGTCTATAGTCTAGTCTATAGTCTAGTCTATAGTCTAGTCTATAGTCTAGTCTATAGTCTAGTCTATAGTCTAGTCTATAGTCTAGTCTATAGTCTAGTCTTAGTCTAGTCTATAGTCTAGTCTATAGTCTAGTCTATAGTCTAGTCTATAGTCTAGTCTATAGTCTAGTCTATAGTCTAGTCTATAGTCTAGTCTATAGTCTAGTCTATAGTCTAGTCTATAGTCTAGTCTATAGTCTAGTCTATAGTCTAGTCTATAGTCTAGTCTATAGTCTAGTCTATAGTCTAGTCTATAGTCTAGTCTATAGTCTAGTCTATAGTCTAGTCTATAGTCTAGTCTATAGTCTAGTCTATAGTCTAGTCTATAGTCTAGTCTATAGTCTAGTCTATAGTCTAGTCTATAGTCTAGTCTATAGTCTAGTCTATAGTCTAGTCTATAGTCTAGTCTATAGTCTAGTCTATAGTCTAGTCTATAGTCTAGTCTATAGTCTAGTCTATAGTCTAGTCTATAGTCTTAAGTCTATAGTCTAGTCTATAGTCTAGTCTATAGTCTAGTCTATGTCTAGTCTATAGTCTAGTCTATAGTCTAGTCTATAGTCTAGTCTATAGTCTAGTCTATAGTCTAGTCTATAGTCTAGTCATAGTCTAGTCTATAGTCTAGTCTATAGTCTAGTCTATAGTCTAGTCTATAGTCTTGTCTATAGTCTAGTCCATAATCTAGTCCATATTCTATTCTATAGTATTGCCCGTAGTCTAGTCTTTAATCTAGCGTGTTCTACATAATTTCTTAAAATAAAGAAATATCAGGAATACTTCCCTTCATTCCCAAAAAAGCTCTTTTATTTTCTACCCTGATAGATGCTCACAGTTGAAACACATACTCTTCGTTAAAACTTAAAGCTTTGATTTTACAATAACAAAAAACCTTTGTCAATTTATTCTGTATTATTCTTTGTCTGCTACATTTAGGATTCTGCGCCTTAACATTGTTTATTTTTTTGTTTGTTTTTGTTACAGTTTTTAGTTTTACCAAGATATTGTCTGTTATTTTCTTTTTGTTTGTCTCACCAATAAAACCGACAACAAACATTGCAGAATAACGTAAGCAAACAAATAAGAACAAAAACAAGCATATAAACAAAAGGAACAGGAACTAAACGAGGAAGAAGATGAAATAACACTGGCGATAATATAATTTACGAATGCGAGCTTAAAAAGTGACCTCAATAAGAGGGTACTATTTTTTAAATTTGTGTATATGTGCCCTACGTTTTGTGACGTAGTTTTCTCTTTTACATACATACGTGTGTATTTTGAAATATTTACACATTTATAAATGTATGTACTATTGGGTATATACATATGTATGTATGTAGTTTGTGTTTGTATGTAAATTTAATATTTATAATTGTTTGCTTGACTGTATATTCTCTGGATCTGTGATACGAATGGATAATTTTCATTTTCAACTGCATAAGAGTGAGTGCATATTATTATCAAGATAGTGTTGCTGTTGCTTTTGATAGTACAGCTTTCTGTTGTTGTTATTATTGTGTTGTGGTTGTTTGATGGATTGATGAGAGCATACATTTGAGTCTTGAATTAGTTTTAAAGTAGTTGTGCTGTAAGTTTATATGTGTGCTTGTAATGCAAGAGCATAAGTGTTTGTTTAGAGATAATAATAGTCAAAGGATTTAGTGCTTGGTTGTAAAATAATTTTTGGTTAAAATTTAACTTTAAAACAATTTACGCTCTTTAGAAAATTTATCTAAAAGCAGTTCTAGTTCAGTTCTAGTTCAGTTCTAGTTCAGTTCTAGTTCAGTTCTAGTTCAGTTCTAGTTCAGTTCTAGTTCAGTTCTAGTTCAGTTCTAGTTCAGTTCTAGTTCAGTTCTAGTTCAGTTCTAGTTCAGTTCTAGTTCAGTTCTAGTTCAGTTCTAGTTCAGTTCTAGTTCAGTTCTAGTTCAGTTCTAGTTCAGTTCTAGTTCAGTTCTAGTTCAGTTCTAGTTCAGTTCTAGTTCAGTTCTAGTTCAGTTCTAGTTCAGTTCTAGTTCAGTTCTAGTTCAGTTCTAGTTCAGTTCTAGTTCAGTTCTAGTTCAGTTCTAGTTCAGTTCTAGTTCAGTTCTAGTTCAGTTCTAGTTCAGTTCTAGTTCAGTTCTAGTTCAGTTCTAGTTCAGTTCTAGTTCAGTTCTAGTTCAGTTCTAGTTCAGTTCTAGTTCAGTTCTAGTTCAGTTCTAGTTCAGTTCTAGTTCAGTTCTAGTTCAGTTCTAGTTCAGTTCTAGTTCAGTTCTAGTTCAGTTCTAGTTCAGTTCTAGTTCAGTTCTAGTTCAGTTCTAGTTCAGTTCTAGTTCAGTTCTAGTTCAGTTCTAGTTCAGTTCTAGTTCAGTTCTAGTTCAGTTCTAGTTCAGTTCTAGTTCAGTTCTAGTTCAGTTCTAGTTCAGTTCTAGTTCAGTTCTAGTTCAGTTCTAGTTCAGTTCTAGTTCAGTTCTAGTTCAGTTCTAGTTCAGTTCTAGTTCAGTTCTAGTTCAGTTCTAGATCAGTTCTAGTTCAGTTCTAGTTCAGTTCTAGTTCAGTTCTAGTTCAGTTCTAGTTCAGTTCTAGTTCAGTTCTAGTTCAGTTCTAGTTCAGTTTTAGTTCAGTTCTAGTCCAGTTCTAGTTCAGTTCTAGTTCAGTTCTAGTTCAGTTCTAGTTCAGTTCTAGTTCAGTTCTAGTTCAGTTCTAGTTCAGTTCTAGTTCAGTTCTAGTTCAGTTCTAGTTCAGTTCTAGTTCAGTTCTAGTTCAGTTCTAGTTCAGTTCGAGTTCAGTTCTAGTTCAGTTCTAGTTCAGTTCTAGTTCAGTTCTAGTTCAGTTCTAGTTCAGTTCTAGTTCAGTTCAGTTCTAGTTCAGTTCTAGTTCAGTTCTAGTTCAGTTCTAGTTCAGTTCTAGTTCAGTTCTAGTTCAGTTCTAGTTCAGTTCTAGTTCAGTTCTAGTTCAGTTCTAGTTCAGTTCTAGTTCAGTTCTAGTTCAGTTCTAGTTCAGTTCTAGTTCAGTTCTAGTTCAGTTCTAGTTCAGTTCTAGTTCAGTTCAGTTCTAGTTCAGTTCTAGTTCAGTTCTAGTTCAGTTCTAGTTCAGTTCTAGTTCAGTTCTAGTTCAGTTCAAGTTCATTTCTAAACCAGCTCTCTATGAATGAATTGGCAATACAATGGAAAACATTTCTCAAAACATAAAATTTTTTGAAAATGGTGTATCTGTGTATTAATTTGTAACAAGTGAGTTTGTTAAGTTTACTGCATACTATTTGTTCATTTTCTTTACCGAGTTGAAAAGAAAAGAAAATAAATTAATTTACACTTCCGTTCAAATAACTGCCGGAAACATAAAATAATTACAGCATCCATAAATTGCAAATCTGTTTTTAATTTAAAACAATATTTTATATTTCCTAATTAAATTATAAATGAGCTGCATATTTTGTTTGTTAACCCCTCTTCACTAAATTACAAACAAAATTCTCTTTCCACAAATAATTATTTAATATTCATTTATAAAAAAAGTAAAAATCCTTGAAGCAAATTAATGCAAAAACAAAAAAAACTTCAAGCATTAATTTTTCAGTAGCTTAAAGTGTTTTATTTTATGTTAAGTTTCTTGCATGAAAATTCCTTCACTGTTGTTGTTTTTATTTGAGTAATGAGTGCAACGATGCATATGTAAATGCTTGCAACAAAACACGGTTTTATAAATTTCATTAACATTTTGACCCCATAAGAAAATTCAACTGAATAGTTTATTTTATTTATAAACTAAAGGGAAAGAGTTTAATTAATCCCCTTTATCATAGTACCTACGTATGTATGTTTGTTTTGCTTTGAAATTTCTTAATTTAATTTAATAAAAACTTTGCTACTTACATTATACGATGACATGCTTCGGCATGATGGTGAGTACATGTCACGGACTGTTCTTCCGATTCGGTGGAGTCATCACGCAAGGTGGCAACTCCTAATGGTAGTATTGGTATTATAGCAGCTGTAGCAGCTGCTGCTGTTGCCGGTGGGCCCGCCACCACAACTGCTGATGTTATGGGTGTGGCTGGTTTTGGTGGTGGTGGAAGAGCGACTGGTGTCGGATGTGCTGGAGTAGCGGCTGTCGAACTACTTATAGCCTGTGGTGAGGGTGTGGTACTTAGGGGCTTCTGAAATAGCGGTAAAAAGCAATTTCGTATATAAATCCTCCATTCGTAGAAACATTTTCTAGAAAGTTTAGTCTTTTCAATACTACTTTAGGTGTTCTAGTTCTGTTCTAGTTCTGTTCTAGTTGTCTAGTTGTGTTCTAGTTCTGTTCTAGTTCTGTTCTAGTTCTGTTCTAGTTCTGTTCTAGTTCTGTTCTAGTTCTGTTCTAGTTCTGTTCTAGTTCTGTTCTAGTTCTGTTCTAGTTCTGTTCTAGTTCTGTTCTAGTTCTGTTCTAGTTCTGTTCTAGTTCTGTCCTAGTTCTGTCCTAGTTCTGTTCTATTACTATTCTAGTTCTGTTCTCTTAATTCTGTTCTTTACCTTTAATTCAAGTGCCTCGACTGTCGAATGTTGTCGTTTTCGTTCGTAGATAATTTCTCTTTCTATAGAGCGACTGCGGAAAGCGGGCGGTAGACTACGATCTGGTGGTGTCGGGATTATAGGTGTTGGTGCACTACTACTTGCCACCAATTGTTGTTGGTGTTCTTGTGGCTGTTGCTGTTGTTCCTGTTCTTGTTGCTGCTGTTGCTGAGCTAATTGTTGTTGAGCTTGACCCGATGTTGTGGGTGGACTTTTCTCGCTTGATTGTTGTTGCTGTTGGTGCTGCTGTTGTTGTACTTGTTGTTGATGTTTATGCTCTTCTTTTTTCTTTTCCCGTTCCTGTTGACGTCTTATCTCAAAATCCAACAAACGCGCTTCACGACTTTCCTTGTCTCTCTGTAATGGAAGATTTAAGGTGAAAATTAAATTTTCAATTTTTAAATTTCAGAAAATTTTTTAAACATTTTTGCAACACAAATCGAAAATTATGTAAGGTATAATATTAGTTATCTTTATGTTATCTCACCTTATAATTTAGCGCGTCTTGTTCCTCTTTTTTCGCTTCTCTTTCACAGCGCTGACGATCGCGCTGTTTCTCTTCGTCCGTTTGCGATGTTTTGCTGTCTGTAAGATTAGTTAAAAATTTTATTAGAACTTTTGAAGATACTAATTAAAGTAAAGTGTTTATTTATATTTAGAGAAGAAAATTCATGTCATAAGTTATTTGTTTTTTCAAAAACACAGGCAAATAGTTTTTGACATGCACTTGCAGTTTTAATAGAATTTGTTAGTTATATTTCATGTTTGTATATTAGACATTGTTTATAGAATTTTTAAAAATATTTATTTAATTAAACACTTAAAACATGTCAGATTTATGGCATTCAAATAGAGTTTTTTGTGTTTGTTATAAAATGTAGTGTAATTAATAAAATATGCAATCCATTCACCATCTTTTTGAGATGTTCCAAATAGTATTTTTTCTGACACAAAAACAAGGATATTTATAAAATATATTAAAAACGCTGTAATATACATATGTACATTAGGGAGACCCAAAATAATATCTATTTTTTTCGGAAAAACGTTTTTTAAACAAAATAATGTATATAAAAGTGTTTTATTCATAAAAATTTCTATACAAAAACTGTTATAAAGAAAAGTTTCTTCGAAAACATTTCGATAATAAAACTGTTATATAATTTTATATAGAAAAACTTTTATAAATATTCCTAAAAACCTGTAAAGAAAAACTGCGATATTTATATATGTTTATCTACACGTTCCTGATTCAATAAGAAAGAGGGACCTTATTGGTACTTTTACGTTCATCCAATGGTATCATTGTAAAGTTTTGCCTCCTTAAACACTAGGTTAGGTGTAACTGATTCCCAAAACATATCCAGGCGAAGAATGATATTTTATAGATAACTCAAGTATATGAACACTCTATATTTTCACCATGCATCATACATTCAAAAGGGTGTATGACAGGGTGACAAGAGCCGCTCACTCTCAATTCAATGTACAAGCAGTTCTTGTGATATCAACTCATTTTCAACATAGCTGTTTGTAACAAGATGTTGAACACGTGCCTTGATGGTCTTATTTCATGGTGTTCTTTTCCATACACTGGGTGAGCTTCCTTGTCGACTCACCACCGCCCCTTTGTATTTCGTACACATGTGACAACATTAGTAAATGGTTCTGTCGGGGTATGTACAAGCACTTTGCTGAAATTGCTCAACTTATACCGAAATAATTTCACCGTATATCAGTCATTTAGCCAACATTATCTTTCCAAGGTTCGGCTTCAACCACAGCCACTAAGAGAACTCTCTATAATAGGCTCCAATTTTGCCAAATAACATAGGTGTACTGGTCAAACTGCGAGTCAAATTACTTCGTTCAGTCTTCTAGTTTCTAGTACCGCCAGACTAGATGTTCTGACACCACCTCTAATCCCCACTACAACAATGTTATTATTGATTGGCGCAATAAGACCCAGAAGAGAGTATGAAATTCTCTCTGATGAGAAAGCTTTAAATGAGAACATCCAAGAGTGTTATATTCCTACGTGAGAAGGATAGTCGAAGTCTTCTTTAAAACCTGCCATGACGGCCTTATTCCATGGTGGTTCCTTCACAACCACTGGCTAAGCTGTTAGACAACTCAACACAGCCCCTTAGTGTTGCTTACACACACGCAGGTGTCAATTTTCGTACACGGTTCCAAAAGTCTAAGAACAAGCTCTTTGCTTAACTACTATCTCTGACCATTGCTGCTACTTTCGAGAAACATTACTTCCATTTACAACCACGCAGATGGGTTGGTCTCTGTTGATTCGGCAACAACACCATCGGTAGACCGAAATACGAGTCCATGAAATAGGCCAATACACTGTGATAAGTCAGGTATGAACGGAAGTTTCTTCCTGACAGCCATAAAGTTTGCATAAATAGATTCGATGTAGGAACTCCCAGCATAAATTGGTGATATCAGAGACCCCAATATACCGTGATCGATCCCTTAGTGTCCTAAGATCACTTTTGTTAAGCGATAACAGCTTTTGGGACTTTCTCTTTGAAAACGTAAGTAATTGCTTGGTCAGTCTAAATCATGTCTAGCGTACACTTGTGGAATACCAAATGACAGTTCGAGGGCTATAAATGGTAAAACTTTGTAAACGTCTTTAATTTGTTTAATCTAGCATATTTAAGCTTTTTACACCATTGCCATTGTCTTTTAAAAATTATTATCACATAACCCTCGTACACAGAAAAAAAAGCACATAAACAATAAAATTTTACGGGATGTTTATTTTCGTTGTAAAATTTTGACAACAACAACAAATAATCAATAACTAAATACGCTAGCATACGGCCACGCATTTTTAGTTTACCTTACCATGGCTTTCAATTTAACCGGCCACCATATGAGCAGTTTGGTCAGACACACATTTTTATTTATATAAGTTTCCTTGTGCGATTTTTCGACAAAAAAATAACAATTTAATAAATTATTTTTTTGACAGTTTTGATTGCGTGTTGTGCAGTTTGTGGTATGTACGTAAACCGACAAAAGTCAGTAAAATTTTTCAGTTTTTTAAAGAATATTTTTTTTTTTACATTTTCACTTACAATTTATTTGTTGTTGTTTTCTTGATTTTTGTAAATTAGTGCGAACATTCATTAAATAATTCGATAGTTTAGGTGGTGGTGTCATTTTTGCGTTTTTTTTCTAGTTAATTTTAACAAAATAAGCTATTTTTATTACTTTTTACTACTTTTTAGTTAACAATTTTTGTTTTGTTCAAAATATTATTTCTTCACATTTTATAAACAAAATTCACTTTTAAAGGCAACAACGTCTTTTCTTAATAATTTTCTAAGTAAAACTGAAACAACATTCATTTGGTTGTAAATCATGTTTTAACAAACAATACAATACAACAATGTTGTTTGATTACATTGGTTTTTCTTTCTACAGACATGTTATTGTTATAACTACTCTTGCATATAGACCATGGGTACGCTATAGAGTGCATTAGATAATTTAAGTTTTTTATGCCAAAAAGAAGTTTAAGAAGCTTTCTTTCTTGAACTGCATTTTTGTCCAAGAAAACAATTTTAAAGAAGAGAAAAGTTTTGTTAAAAATATTATTGTACTTAAAAAGCCTTTTTCACTGAAGAGCTTTTTTAAAAAATAGATTTTTAAAATTTTTTTGGAAAAGCTTTCCAGAAACTTCTAATGGCCTGAAAAAGCTGTGTAAAAAGAAATATTTTAATAAAAAATAAAAGCTTTTTCAGGAAATTTTCTTGTGAACTTTTTCAAAAAAATAAATCTGCAGTTACAAAATAATATCTAGCCAGGTCTATAGTCTAGTCTATAGTCTAGTCTATAGTCTAGTCTATAGTCTAGTCTATAGTCTAGTCTATAGTCTAGTCTATAGTCTAGTCTATAGTCTAGTCTATAGTCTAGTCTATAGTCTAGTCTATAGTCTAGTCTATAGTCTAGTCTATAGTCTAGTCTATAGTCTAGTCTTAGTCTAGTCTAGTCTAGTCTTAGTCTAGTCTATAGTCTAGTCTATGTCTAGTCTATAGTCTAGTCTATAGTCTAGTCTATAGTCTAGTATAGTCTAGTCTATAGTCTAGTCTATAGTCTAGTCTATAGTCTAGTCTATAGTCTAGTCTATAGTCTAGTCTATAGTCTAGTCTATAGTCTAGTCTATAGTCTAGTCTATAGTCTAGTCTATAGTCTAGTCTATAGTCTAGTCTATAGTCTAGTCTATAGTCTAGTCTATAGTCTAGTCTATAGTCTAGTCTATAGTCTATCTAATAGTTAGTCTATAGGTCTAGTCTATAGTCTAGTCTATAGTCTAGGTCTATAGTCTAGTCTATAGGCTAGGTCTATAGTCTAGTCTATAGTCTAGTCTATAGTCCTAGTCTATAGTCTAGTCTATAGTCTAGTCTATAGTCTAGTATATAGTCCTAGTCTATAGTCCTAGGTCTATAGTCTAGTCTATAGTCCTAGTCTATAGTCTAGTCTATAGTCTAGTCTATAGTCTAGTCGATAGTCTAGTCTATAGTCTAGTCTATAGTCTAGTCGATAGTCCTAGTTCTATAGTCCTAGTCCTATAGTCCTAGTCTATAGTCTAGTCCTATAGTCTAGTCCCCCACCCACCCTTATAGTCTAGTCTATAGTCTAGTCTATAGTCTAGTCTATAGTCTAGTCTATAGTCTAGTCTATAGTCTAGTCTATAGTCTAGTCTATAGTCTAGTCTATAGTCTAGTCATATAGTCCTAGGTCTATATCTAGTCTAGTTAGTCCTATAGTCCCTAGTCTATAGTCTAGTCCTATAGTCTAGTCTATAGTCCTAGTTTATAGTCTAGTCTATAGTCTAGTCTATAGGTCTAGTCTATAGTCTAGTCTATAGTCTATAGTCTAGTCCTATAGTCTAGTCTATAGTCTAGTCTATAGTCTAGTCTATATCCTAGTCTATAGTCCTAGTCTATAGTCTAGTCTATAGTCTACGTCTATAGTCTAGTCTATAGTCTAGGTCTATAGTCTAGTCTATAGTCCTAGTCCCTATAGTCTAGTCCTATAGTCTAGGCTATAGTCTAGTCTATAGTCTAGTCCTATAAGTCCTAGATCCTATAGTCTAGTGTATAGTCTAGTCTATAGTCTAGTCTATAGGCTAGTCTATAGTCTAGTGTATAGTCTAGTCTATAGTTCTAGTCTATAGTCTAGTCTATAGTCTAGTCTATAGTCTAGCTTATAGTCTAGTCTATAGTCTAGTCTATAGTCTAGTCTAGAGTCTAGTCTATAGTCTAGGTCTATAGTCTGCTATAGTCTAGTCCTATAGCTAGTCCGTCATAGTCCTAGTCTATAGTCTATAGTCTAGTCTCATAGTCTAGTCTATAGTCTAGTCTATAGGCTATAGGTCTAGTCTATAGTCTAGTCTTATATAGTCTAGTCCTATAGCGTCTAGTCTATAGTCTAGTCTATAGTCTAGTCTACTAGTCTAGTCTATAGTCTAGTCTATAGTCTAGTCTATAGTCTTAGTCTAGTATAGTCTAGTCTATAGTCTAGTCTATAGTCTAGTCTATAGTCTAGTCTATAGTCTAGTCTATAGTCTAGTCTATAGTCTAGTCTATAGTCTAGTCTATAGTCTAGTCTATAGTCTAGTCTATAGTCTAGTCTATAGTCTAGTCTATAGTCTAGTCTATAGTCTAGTCTATAGTCTAGTCTATAGTCTAGCCTATAGTCTAGTGTATAGTCTAGTCTATAGTCTAGTCTATAGTCTAGTCTATAGTCTAGTGTATAGTCTAGTCTATAGTCTAGTCTATAGTCTAGTCTATAGTCTAGTCTATAGTCTAGTCTATAGTCTAGTCTATAGTCTAGTCTATAGTCATAGTCTAGTCTATAGTCTAGTCTATAGTCTAGTCTATAGTCTAGTCTATAGTCTAGTCTATAGTCTAGTCTATAGTCTATAGTCTAGTCTATAGTCTAGTCTATAGTCTAGTCTATAGTCTATAGTCTAGTCTATAGTCTAGTCTATAGTCTAGTCTATAGTCTAGTCTAGTCTATAGTCTAGTCTATAGTCTAGTCTATAGTCTAGTCTATAGTCTAGTCTATAGTCTAGTCTATAGTCTAGTCTATAGTCTAGTCTATAGTCTAGTCTAGTCTAGTCTATAGTCTAGTCTATAGTCTAGTCTATAGTCTAGTCTATAGTCTAGTCTATAGTCTAGTCTATAGTCTAGTCTATAGTCTAGTCTATAGTCTAGTCTATAGTCTAGTCTATAGTCTAGTCTATAGTCTAGTCTATAGTCTAGTCTATAGTCTAGTCTATAGTCTAGTCTATAGTCTAGTCTATAGTCTAGTCTATAGTCTAGTCTATAGTCTAGTCTATAGTCTAGTCTATAGTCTAGTCTATAGTCTAGTCTATAGTCTAGTCTATAGTCTAGTCTATAGTCTAGTCTATAGTCTAGTCTATAGTCTAGTCTATAGTCTAGTCTATAGTCTAGTCTGTAGTCTAGTCTATAGTCTAGTCTATAGTCTAGTCTATAGTCTAGTCTATAGTCTAGTCTATAGTCTAGTCTATAGGTCTAGTCTATAGGTCTAGTCTATAGTCTAGTCTATAGTCTAGTCTATAGTCTAGTCTATATCAGTCTATAGTCTAGTCTTATAGTCTAGTCTATAGTCTAGTCTATTAGTCTAGTCTATAGTTCTAGTCTATAGTCTGTCTATAGTCTAGTCTATAGTCTAGTCCTATAGTCTTAAGTCTATAGTCTAGTCTATAGTCTAGTCTATAGGTCTAGTTATAGTCTAGTCTATGTCTAGTCTATAGTCTAGTCTATAGTCTAGTTCTATTAGTCTAGTCATTAGGTCTAGTCCTATAGTCTAGTGTAGTCTATAGTCTAGTCTATAGTCTAGTCTCTAGTCTAGTCTATAGTCTAGTCTATAGTCTTAGTCTATAGTCTTAGTCTATAGGTCAGGTCTATAGTCTAGTCTATGTCTAGTCTATAGTTCTAAGTCTATAGCTCTAGTATATAGTCTAGTCTAATTAGTCTAGTCTATAGTCTAGTTCTATTAGTTCTAGTCCTATAGGTCTAGTGCTATAGTCATTATAGTCATAGTCATAGTCTAATGTCTATAGTCTATAGTCTAGTAGTCTATAGTCTAGTCTATGTCTAGTCTATCGTCTAGTCTATAGTCTCGTCCTAGTCAGTCTATAGTTAGTCTATAGTCTAGTCTATAGTCTAGTCTATAGTCTAGTCTATAGTCTAGTCTATAGTCTAGTCTATAGTCTAGTCTATAGTCTAGTCTATAGTCTAGTCTATAGTCTAGTCTATAGTCTAGTCTATAGTCTAGTCTATAGTCTAGTCTATAGTCTAGTCTATAGTCTAGTCTATAGTCTAGTCTATAGTCTAGTCTATAGTCTAGTCTATAGTCTAGTCTATAGTCTAGTCTATAGTCTAGTCTATAGTCTAGTCTATAGTCTAGTCTATAGTCTAGTCTATAGTCTAGTCTATAGTCTAGTCTATAGTCTAGTCTATAGTCTAGTCTATAGTCTAGTCTATAGTCTAGTCTATAGTCTAGTCTGTAGTCTAGTCTATAGTCTAGTCTATAGTCTAGTCTAGTCTAGTCTATAGTCTAGTCTATAGTCTAGTCTATAGTCTAGTCTATAGTCTAGTCTATAGTCTAGTCTATAGTCTAGTCTATAGTGTAGTCTATAGTCTAGTCTATAGTCTAGTCTATAGTCTAGTCTATAGTCTAGTCTATAGTCTAGTCTATAGTCTAGTCTATAGTCTAGTCTATAGTCTAGTCTATAGTCTAGTCTATAGTTTAGTCTATTGTCTAGTCTATAGTCTAGTCTATTGTCTAGTCTATAGTCTAGTCTATAGTCTAGTCTATAGTCTAGTCTATAGTCTAGTCTATAGTCTAGACTATAGTCTAGTCTATAGTCTAGTCTATAGTCTAGTCTATAGTCAAGCCTATAGTCTAGTCTATAGTCTAGTCTATAGTCTAGTCTATAGTCTAGTCTATAGTCTAGTCTATAGTCTAGTCTATAGTCTAGTCTATAGTCTAGTCTATAGTCTAGTCTATAGTCTAGTCTAGTCTATAGTCTAGTCTATAGTCTAGTCTAGTCTATAGTCTAGTCTAGTCTATAGTCTAGTCTATAGTCTAGTCTATAGTCTAGTCTATAGTCTAGTCTATAGTCTAGTCTATAGTCTAGTCTATAGTCTAGTCTATAGTCTAGTCTATAGTCTAGTCTATAGTCTAGTCTATAGTCTAGTCTATAGTCTAGTCTATAGTCTAGTCTATAGTCTAGTCTATAGTCTAGTCTATAGTCTAGTCTATAGTCTAGTCTATAGTCTAGTCTATAGTCTAGTCTA